TTTGGAGCTATTTTCGTCCTATTGACTATTTATTGGCTAATTTATTTGTATAGATTGTTGTTGTTTTATTGTCCTATTTTTGTAATTTTAAGTTTTTCCTAGTTGTATTTTGGTTATTTTCCTTCTTTTGTTTCCTTTTTTTTTTTTTCTTTTTATGGTATGATATGATATGATAATTTTCTTTTGTATTGTCTTGGTTTCTTTTTGGTTTTTGTGACTCTATTGTATGCTTTCGACATGTGGTTACCCTATGTTTCAAGTGTATTAACCCAATACTCTATCTGTTTGCTTTAAACTGATAGTCACATAAACTCAAACACATCCTAAAAAGAACAAGAAAAAGGAAAACAAAAGTCTATTTCCTTGCTCCCTTCTCTCACCTTTAGTGATTTTGATGTCCTCTTTTATATCTTCATGCTTATTCTGTTGCAAGTCATTGCAGTTACTGCCTTTCCAATTATGGTTGTTCTCCTTTCTATAGTGTCCTGCTTCTTTTCTATGTAGAGTAGACCTTTCAATATTTCTTTTAGGATATGTTTAGTATTGCTGAATTCTTTGTCTTTGCTTGTCTGTGAAATTCTTTCTCTCTCTTATTCTAAAGAATAGCCTTGCTGGATAAAGTACCCTAGGTTGCAGCTTTTTTCTCATTCAGAACTTTGAATATATCTTGCCATTTCCTTCTGACCTGCAGTGTTTTTGTTGAGAAATCAGCTGAAAGCCTTATGGGGGTTGCCTTGTAACTAACTCTGTTTTCCTTTTGCTGCCTTTAGAATCGTTTCTTTACCTTTGGCCATCTTACCTTGGCCGTCTTAATTATAATATGTCTTAGTGTAGATCTATATATTTGGGTTCTTTTTGTTGGGGATCCTCTGTGCTTCCTGTACTTGGGTATTTTTTTTCGGTTTGGAAACTTTTGTCTTGATTTCTTCAAATACCTTTTCAATCCCCTTTGCTCTTTCTTCTCCTTCTGGGACCCCTATTATGCATGGTTTGGGATGCTTTATATTATCCCACAGGTCCCTTACTTGCATTCGTTGGTTTTTATTTGCTTCTCTGTCCGCTATTCTGGTTGGATGACTTCTGTTTTCCTGTCTTCTAAGTCACTTACTTGTTCCTCTGCATTGTCTAGTTTGCTTTTGATTGCCTTTATTTCGGCTCACATCTCAACCATTGAGTTTCCTGTTTTTAATTGGCTCCTCTTTATATTTCAGTTTCCTTTTTACAGTATTCTCTGTCTCTGTTCATAGCCTCGTACTTCCTTCAGTGCTTTGATCACTCCCTTTTTGAAGTCATGGTCTAGTAGACTATTGAGGTCTATTTCATTGATCATTCTTTCAGGGGACTTCTCTTGTTCTAATTGGGAGTGGATTCTCTGCTTCTTCATTTTACTTATAGCTCTCTGGCACTGTGGATTACGGAGTATTAGTTATCTGCTATGGTCCTGATGGGATGTTTTGTTTTTTAAGAGGATGTGTTCCTGTGTAGTCTGTGTGCCCCTAATAATTGTGTTGTGAGGTCTGTCTTTAGTATGGATGGTTGCCAGGTCTTCCATGTGTGTTGGCTGTTATCCCTCTGATGGGGGGTGTGGCCAGTATTGTGGTGATCTGAGCTGCCCTGGCTGTTGAGCAGGGGCCTCCTTTTTGTTCTGTGGTTTTAACAGCCCTGACAGGGGCTGGCTCTGTTCCCCTTTTATTGGAGACTTTTCAGGGGAGGCTTCCAGACCCATTTCTGAGCTGCAGTGTGTGGTAGGCTGGGTTGGAGAGCTTTGAGTACTCTGCCGACTCTGCCCTTGTCCCTGCTTTAGCCACGGGAATGTCATTGCTCTGCTCTGGTGTCCCCTAGGTTCTCTGCCCTCAGAGCTACCACTGCATTTACTCCAATTTCTGGGTCGCACACCTGGATCATGGTGCTCTGTCGGGTCAGCACTGTCCCCAGCACCAAGTGTTGCTCCTGCGCTCGTCCTGCCGCATGAACTCAGCCCGTTCGTCCCAGAGGCCTGGGCTGGTAGGGCCCCCAGCCCTGCAGCGACCATGTGGTGGCACCACCTGGTCAGCGCCATCCTCAGCACAGTGTCCACATGTGGTAGGCAGGCTCATGGGAAACGGCTGCACCAGCCCTCACCCCTACTGTGTGCCAGAACTCCGCTCCTTGGTCATTTGTCTTAAGAGGTGTGGGTACACAGAGGCACCCATGGAGCAAAATGGCCCCCTCTGCCTGGTGCTGAAAACAAATCTCAGCCCTGCCTGTGAAGTTGTGGAGCCCCTGGGTATGGATGAAGGTTTCCACCCCACCTCTGCCTGGAGCCGCGCACACGCACCAGCAAATATGGTGGCTATGGCTACGACCCAGCCCCCGATGTGCACCACTGGTCTTCCTCCCTCCCTTCTTTCCTTCCTCCATCCCTCCCTGTTTTGCATACGCTCCAGCCATGTGCACAGCACACTCCAGTCCCCTGACAGGCAGCCAGTCCTGGCCCACTCCTGCAGTTTGCGTCTAGGGCTGGGGCTTGCAGGGTCCCTTTGTGCCTGTTTCACTTAATTCTGTCGGCCAAGGGCTGCTGTGCACAGATCCGAGCCTCAAAGGCTCCCCTCCGTCCCCACTGATCTCTCCATTGGAGGAGGAGACCCAGCGTACGGCACTAGTCCTCACTTGCCACTCCTGCACTAATTTCCTTTTTCTTTGTTTTTTCCTCCTACCAGATTTGTGATGAATTTTTTCTTTTGAAGGCGATGTTCTGTCAAAGTTCAGCAGGTGCTGAGTGAATGGGTGGGTCTGTGGGTGTCTCTCTTGCTGTATTCATGGGGGAGGGAGGGTGAGCTCAGAGCTTCCTTCTGCTTCACCATTGTGGCCGCTCCCCTCCATCCTGCCTGCTCCCCCTTCCAGTTCTAAATATTTAAGAGCAACAGAAAATGTCTGTTGTCTGCTACCGAATTTTTTTTTAACTCCTGCGTGAAGAGATGTTCTTTGTATTTCCTCTGACTTGGCCTTAGGCTTCCTTAAGGCCGAGCCCTGCTCTCAAGTGAGGCGGTCACATCCGAGCCTGCGGTAACGTCTCTGCATTTTGGTTTCTCAGTCAGTAAACCCAGGGATATAATGTCTTCTCCCTTGGGGTCCTGTGACAATGAAACGAGATGTTGCTCAGGGGACTGACAGCCTCCGTTCAGTGGTTGGTACGTCCTTGGTGCTCAGTTAGCATCCCACCCTCTCCCTCAAAAGACACGTGCAGAGTGCTGTATTTATTCCTTTATGGACAGTGAGAGTGGGGCCAGCAAGTATGATTTTCACTGGTTAGAGGATGACGGTGCATCCCAAGGAGACAGGGCACGTGTCTGGGTTCTCTTCCTCTATCCCGTGCTCTCTGTGAGGACAGCGGAGCTTCCAGAGGAGGCGACAGGAGATGTCACTACGCCCTCCCTCTGGCATCACAGTCCCCTAGTGTCACTCATTTCCTCCCTGCTAGCAAAACCTAACCATTGTCCCTCCCACTCTGGGTACTAAGACTTTTCCATTCCTCTGAGGCCGCCAGAGTGTGTGATTAAAGAGCAACCCATTTATTCATTTATGTGCTAACATTTATTCAGTCAACAAATGCTGGGTGCCTGCCAGGGCCAGACACGGCTGGTTATTGGGACACACAGAACCTGTAACTAAACGTAAAACTGCATGACGTCATCAGCCTGCCCGCGTCATCCTCAGACGTCACTGAATTAGTGACGGTGGTGCTTCACTCAGTGCCTGTTAAGGAGATGACCACAGTGGATGACATTAAAAAAAAAAAGCCAAACCCAGAATTCGACGACTGTTGCCAGCAGAGCAGAGGGAAGCAAGGTCCAGGGTGCGGCGGGGCTGGCGGGACAGCCGCAGCGGTCATGCGCCCCCGCCAGCTGGGATGACCCTCGGGGTCCGCGTTACGGCTGGACAGACTCCTAGGACCTAAATGGTCATTTCCGACTCCCAGACTGATGTTTCCACTCCCAAGCAAAGGAGCCAAACAAATAAATGATGAAATACTGACCGTGAACCCACATAGTTCAAGACATGGGTGGGGAAAACCCTAACTTCTTTATCAACTACAAGGAGAAACGCCCAGGAGACAGGTGGAGATAAAGCAGCTTTTTTTTTTTGAGCAGAACATAAACATGGACCAATCTCTCAACAGCACTGCTGTCAACAAAAGCTTCGGTTGCTGCAAAGTCTCCCAAGAGCGGCGGCGAGGAAGAGGCGGACAATCGGAACGAGCTATTTCTTCATCTCCAGGATGGCGCTGCCTGGGCCCCGGTGCTTGGCGCTGCAGATGTTACAGAACTGTGCAGGCGAGTTCTAAACATGTAATGAGAAACGCAGATTGTAAAAGGACATCCTATCCTCTCTTTCTACTCCCGTCTTTGGAAATATGGGAGCACTTGGCGGGGGCGGGGGTAGGAAGCTATGAAGTGTCACTCCTTTTCCTGGAGACGACCCCTGCTGCACACAGGAGTCTGTCTATACCAGCTGTTACTCTGTGACTTGAAGAAAGTGTCATACTGCAGAAATCAGGGTGAGAAAGTTACACAGAATCGAGGATGGTTTTCTCTGCATGTCACATCTCTGTAGCTCAACAGTCATCAAACCTGCCTGAACAGTTTCACTTGAGTGAATATGGTTTTACTACGTTTAGGACACTTAAGCGTTTTTACATCGGAGAAGTAGGCATGCTCACTTTTGCGATGTGACATCTAACTGTGAGGACCCGCAGAGCCGCAGGACCGGGGTTACGATTTTGAGCACACCCCTCTGGACGTGCCAGGTTCTGTCTAGCTGGCGGTGGCCGAGCCGCGAACTCACCAGGCTGGGCGCGGGCAGGCACTCCTTGTGGAACATGTGCCGGCAGTGGAAGACCACCACGCTGAAGGGCTTCGCCGCGTCTAGGGGGCAGGGCGGAAGAGGGAGGAGAGCTCAGCGCGGCAGCAGTTTAATTTTCCAGCAAATGAGCTGCCTTGGGGGACTGCTGATTTACACACGCACTCCTGCCAGGGGATGCGGTTGAACGCGGGGCAGGCGCGACAGTCGTGTGGCTCTGGTTGTCCCAGCTCACCTGCCTGGCCCCTGAGTCAGTTACTGCAGCTACGCGCCGGGGACAGTTTCACGGCACAGGCGACAGCGTTTGTTGTAAACACGTGCATCAGGGGTGTATGTGCCTGGCTTTCCCTCCCCCAGCCCCGCCCGCACCATCATGATACACTCCATATATTCTAGTCGATTCTAGGATGCGTTCTGCCAGTTACCTGCTGCCTTTGCCAAGACCACCCACTGACGTCAGGGCAGAGCTGCTAAAACCCTAGGCTGTGACCCGTCCTGGCTCAGCGTGGCCAGCTTGGTTCCGGTAAGACTGAGAATCCCTCACAGATTAGGAATTTAAGCTGACCACTCAGTGCAGAGGCATGTGGGCTCTTTCCGTTAAAACGCTACACAAGCTCACTGCTCTTCCTGCGCCCACTGCAGTTTTTAACGTAAGCACTTAAAATCCAAGCGTCTGGCAAAGACCCGAAGTGGAACGACTTCTTGTGCTGCTGCCCTGCCGCATAACCCCTCAAGCTCAGTAAATGGGCAAACAAGGTCTCTTGGTACTTCTCTAGGCAGCCCCTACATACAAGAGGCATTTTTAGCATCCTGACGACAGTGCTTTAATTTCTGCTTTCAAATTATGAAATTTCCTCTTTTCATGTCTTATGATCCTTAACAAAAAATGCTTTGATTATGTGAAGATCTGTACCGAGAACTTAAATAATGTGTATGTCTTTTTCAGGAGTCACCGTTCCAGTGAGATGGCAAGTAATTACGTTTTCGTTGAAATGCAAGATAACTTGGATGCCTGGAACTACACAGCAGTGAGAAGCTGAAAGAAAAAGGACAGCTGCCTACAGAATTTCTCTCAGGTATGCACACGGTTCTTCTACCTTGGAATCTACATATGTCCATGGTAAGTTCTCTTTTTGTTTGGTTTTACACTCGGGAAACGGTCCTCAAAGACTGGCCCCTGAACCAGGTGCATCCTCGCCACCTGGGAACTTGTGGGAAATGCAGATTCTCCGTCCTGCTGTGGAACTACTGCACCGGCATGTCTGGGGGTGGGACCGGCAAGCTGAGCGTTAACAAGCCTGCCCGCGGATGTCGGACTCCCCCCGGGGCTTGGGAACCTCAGCTCTAAGGCCTGGGCACCGCCGGCATGCAGCTGACCAGGGGCGTGGGCTGGAATTCTTCTCCAAGCTGGATTATTCCAAAAGTTGTATTATTTTCTAAATCGTAATTAGCTAACTTCAAAATCTTCGTTGCCCGCACCACTAGCACACATCTGGGGACCGTTCTGCCCCCGCCCCCGAGCTTACCTGACGGAAGAACAGGGGACAGGCACGACTCACAGATGTTCTCCTCTGTGGGGAAACACACACTCGGGGTTACACAGCGCTGCTCTCTGCTCTGTCCCTTCTGAGAGCAGGGCACGCGGCGCGAGTAGGACTCTGAGTTTTACCCACCGTCGACCAGGACGCCTTTCATCTGAGTTCGGTGCATCTTCTTGAGTAAGGAGAGGGAGTCAGCTACGAGAATCTTCTTGCAGCCTTCACGAAGCAGAATCTAAGGCACACGTTGTAAAAGAAGCCACCTTAGGCTCAGATGTGGGAGGAGGGGAGTCCCCTTACTGGGACATTCAGAAAATTGTTTGAAATACTCCAAAGAGGCGCTCGCTGGTCCCCTGCCCTCAGTCACTCCCTTCCAGCTACTGTCGGACCAGCCTTTCCAGCCACAACTCTGTATTTTTTGCTTATGAACATGTATATACAATGTAGGTCTGGCCAGGAAGACCCTGTGCCAACTAACCCTGTCACTGCCGTATAGGGCTTCCTAGCACAGACTCTGGCAGAGTCTGGGCCCTGCATGATCTGCTCATCCCAACCTCCAGATCTTTGCCCAGGATGGGAAACCTGCTGCTCCGAGATCACCCAATTACTCCGTAAGTCCATGGATTTACCGCACAAATAGATCCTGGGTCCCTGTCGTGTACAAAGCACAGGGCACAGACTGATAAGCTAAACAGACGTTGTCTCTGTCCTAAACTCCCTCCAGGGTGTGGCCTGTCTTCCTTTTCTTGCGATCTGATCCAGACCATGTAGCAGAGTGCCATGAATGTGGTGTGTAAGGTGTGGACTGACTACATTAACCCTCACATTTGGTGACTCTTAACGGACCGATGACTGAAAAATGCGCAGATATTAAACATTCTCTCGCAAGATCCATCTTAGTCTTTATCCTAGAACTCTCCTTTGCTCCTTTCCGCATTCTCTCTGTTACTGTGCAGGCTGACTGATTCCGCACCCCCCGCCTGGAGGATCACTAGAGGGAGCGACACCTCAGCACGTACGGGTCACCTGAGGAGAACGGACGCGCCTCGTTGGGACGACTGCCCGTTTCAGGTTAGAACCACTTGGTGTCTCCTAGCTGAGAGCGTGATGGAGACAGAGGCTGCCTGCCTGTTCTCAGGTGGGGCACAGCAGGGAGTGGCAGCCCCCTTTGCCTTTCACATCCATTCCTCTGGCCACAGTGTGCGTGTCCACCCTTTCCTGTTTTTGTTTGGTATTTTATTGGAAACTGGGAAAGGCTATGTGAGGTGTGCCAGACACACCTTTTTCACTAGAACGCGTTGCTGCTCTAGAAAGAGGGAGACGCTCAAGGCAGGAAGGACCCACAGCTTCGCTCCTGGTCCAGTGTCTCACTGCACGTGGTTATGTGCAGGTAGTGGAGCTGCCGTGACGCTCACACAGTGAGGACACTGCAGCCTCACTGCCACCCGGCAGGACACAGCAAATGCTACCGGCGATGCCACATCCCACGTTTTTTCACACCAAAGTCACAACTCTAAGCCCTACGTGGACACTCTGCTTTCACATGGTGTCAGTTCATGCCCCCAGGGGAGGGAAGTGGCTCCTCCATCCCTGACGTAACAAACGCTCCTTTCAAATCCCCACGAACCCTGGCGCCGGGTGAGGGCAGCCAGAGGGCTTCCCCCACTAGGTACATGAAGGCAAACAGCCAAGAAAACAGAACTGATAGCCAGAATAAAATTCTGTGCCCACCATTTGTATTACTGATGATCAGGAAATTACATGATTTTACTGTTTCCACATTAATTGAGAAACAGTGAAGTTTTATTAAAATGCTGCTAGAAATTGAAATTTTCTGATTCATCTCAAGAAGTTTATAACAGACATCAGGAAAGCATACAGGAAGAGAAAACAAATATAGTAAGAAAGCTCTCTAAGAAATACTGATGTTGGTAAGTAAGAAAATTTGTAAGCAAACGTGTAGAGGTGCTCAGCCGCTAATACTAAAATAGAAACTTAAATAGTGTCAATCAGCAAAAAGTTTCAAAAAGAGCTGGCTCTGGCCCTCAGTGGGTGTTCAAGGCCCTCTGTGTGATTAATCCAGGAGACCTGTGGACCTGGCATTCTAGGCAGAAGCCACAGTGTCTGCAAATTTAAAAAAGAAAACGGGAAAAAAAAAGCAGCAAACTAAGAAGGAACCGTTTCTTCACCAGGCTTAAGCTTTTCTAAAGAGGTACGACCTGTCTGCCCCCAGAAAGTACCTTCTAGGAAAACTTAAAGTGCAGAGGCAACAAGAACAGCTTAGCACGTTACTCCCTACTTTATCTGAACACAGCCCAAGGCTCCAAATCAGAAAAATATGAAAACATTGTAACTTTCATTTACAGGATGCTGGGCAGGAGGTGATCACCTGCGCAGGAGAGTCATTTATCCTATACAACGTGCAGCAGTCCGGAGGCCATCGGAGGTGGTGAGTGAAGGACTGTACCAGGATAACGCAGCATTAGGTAGGTGCTGTGTTTGGCACCAGACACATGGTGAGGCATTGCGTAGCTGACTGTGGGTTCCCAGGAGCAGCTACATCAGTGACTCGTGAGAAACGTGCTGTTCTGGACACCAGTTTCACCCTCAGCAGTTCATATAGTTGTCCCTCCAATTCTGTGAGTTCTGCATCCATGGATTCGCCCAACTACAGATCCAAAATATTGGTGCGGGAAATTTCAGGAAGTTCAAAGCAGCAAAAGTTGAATTTGCCCTGCACATGCGGGCAACTGTTTACACAGCAGTTACACTGTATTGGGTATTGTACGTAACCTAGAGATGATTTAAGGTATCCAGGAGGATGTGCATAGGTTATATGCGAACACTGCGCTGTTTTATATAAGGCATTGCGCATCCTTGGATTTGGGTATCCGTGGGAGGGTATCCATTCCCCCCTAGATAGAGGGATGACTGACTGCATTTGTATTTCCCACGAATGCCTTGACTAAAACACCTGACACCTGGAAGTCAGACACAATAGCAGTTGGGTAAGAGAGGTTTCTTCTGATGCTTTCTGACTTTCACACTTGTGATTTCCGACGTCTTCCATCTTCCAAGGTCATCTTGCCCAGCCTGTCTTTCCAGCTGTGGACTCTCACCTTCCACCTGTCTCCTTTCTTTTCTCGCAAACTTGATGTTATTCACACATTCCAGGGCACACGCAGTCTCTTCTTCAAGGACCAGAATCACTGTGACTCACATCCTGAGTACCTTGTGCTGTTTTTCTTGTAAAAATATGAAATGCTTCAACCATGCAGAATAAAATAACATACTCAAGTCTCTACCACCTGGATTGGACATACCTTACTGTTTTGCCATGTGCTTCAGGTCTGTTTATTTTGGAAAATACAGTACTACAGATACAGCTGACACGTTCTTGCACCTTTTCTCCTCCTCCTCTACAGACACAGCTCTGACTTTGTTTAGCGTGTGTTCAACTAAAATACACAGTGGGCTTGGACTCCTGGAACATAGATGTGGTCAGTGAGGTCAGCGTGGAGCCTGGGAAGGCATCCCTTTCCAAATGAAGAAACAAAGCCTCATTAGGAAAAAGTCCTGCTTCCCCCATCTTCTGCCTGCAGTGTGGATGGGAGGCCTGGAGATGCAGCGTCTGCTTTGTGACCAAGAGGCAACTGTCAGAGGTACATTTCTCCTGTCGAAGGACATTTAGGCTGTTTCCATTGTAGGGCTATTAAAGATAAGGCCACAGAGGACACTCTTGTACAGGCGGACCCCACTTTATTGTGCTTTGCTTTACTGCACTTTGTTGATATTACTTTTTTTACAAACGGAAGGTTTGTGGCAACCCTTCGTTGTCAGATGACACAGAGCAATTTTTTTTAGCAATTAAGTATTTAAAAATTAAGGTGTGTACTTTTTCTAGACATAATGATACTGCAGACTTACATAACCGTTTTATGTGCTGGGAAAACAAAAACTTTGTGTTCGTTTTATTGAGGTACTTGCTTTATTTCGGTGCCGCGAACACAGGATCACTGAGGTCTGCCTGCACAGATCCCTTTGTGGACCCGCTCTTCATCTTTTGGGTAAATACCTATGAGTAAAACTGCTGGGTTATGGAGTAGGTGTATGTTTAACTTTTTAAGTAACTGTCAGTTTTCCAAAGTGGTTATACTATCGTACATTCTCGCATATTAAGCTTTGATACCTGGTAAGTCTACCCTCTTTATTCTCCTTTGATAATCTTAGCCTTTTACTTTTGATATAAAATTCAGGATGATGAAAAATTCTTTTGGGACTTTGATTAGAATTTATTGAATATATGGATGGTGGCCACTTTGGAGAGAACTGATAACATTTATGATGTGAGCCTCTGAATATAATTGGTCAGATTCAAGTTGCTAATGATTGATGTAGAATTTTTGCATTTGTGTTTTTAAAAAAAAAAGGGGGGGAGTTATAATTGTTGCATATTGCCCTCCTGCAATCTGGCAAGGTTAGACCAGCATCCCATGAGAAACTGAGGAGCTTTTCCATTCTAGTCTCTGGAAAAGTTTATACAAAACAGGGGTTGCCTGTTTCTTTAAGTTTTGATAAAACTTATCTCTAAAAGTTGTGGCATAGTGCTTGCAGGTCTATTCTACTAGTTCCTGAATAAATTTGTTAAACAGTTTTCTAGGAAAACATGAATTACTTGCGTTCTCACATACAGTGACAGAAAACTAGCATTCACTTAAGTTTTTAGATCTTGTCTGCATTCCCCCCTAATATTTACTTGATTGACTTTGTGAGGGATTTTCCTAATTTATTGTTAGTTTTTTGATTCTTCTGGAGCTCCTTTGATGAGACACTTTCATTCTAACCTCCATGTCTCTGTTAACTACTCTTTTATATTTTCTGTCTTTTAATTAGTCTGTGCTTCATGCTGAACGACTTCATCAGCTCTGTCTTCTGGTTCTTTAATTCTCCCTGTTAGCTGTGTAATCTGCTTACTGTATCCACCGAATTGATCATTGTATTGGACAGCCTCTGATAGCAGTCCCAGAAACTAAGATCAGCTTGAAACATCTTTTGTCTCGTCCTCTATGAGACGTCTCCACTGGGTAAGTAAGGCAGAACCTTGTTCATCTTTGCTCTGTGATCTCTATCACCGAGGTGAGTAAACCAGTGTCTGATGTTTTCTTTCTTCAACTTCACGATGGTATTAGTTTTCATCTCACGAGGTATTTATAGATACTACCTTGCAGAGATGAATTTTCCTAATGGGATGTTCCCTTAGTTTTCCACGATTATTCAAATCAGTGGGCTAACTTCTTCCTAACATCCTTCTCAACCACTCTCGTTTTCTTGTTACTACGTTGTTTCCCTCCTTAGGTCTGTGTTTCTTTAAACTGTTTTTTTATTAACATCACCTTTATTCTTTTCTCGTCATCATTTTCAAGACAATCAGTTCTAGCTTCCAGAACCACTTACAAGCACACTTATAAATACATTCTTATTTAAATTTATAAGATAGCTGTTGAAAATTAACACAAGACTCTAGATTCTCCCTATTTTTCCTTCCAATTTCTCTGCAGTTCATCATTACTGATAATAATCTCAACCAGAAGCAAAGCACCAAACTCACAGATACGTTACAAAGCAGTAAAAGGACTGCACATCAGCAAAGTTATTATGGTTCGTTAGAAACAGCTGCTGTGGGAAAAACGCCACACAAAACTGCCAAGTCCCTGAAATTTTTATTTTAAACGAGTCTTTGATGGAAGTATAGTCGGTTAACAGTGTGGTCAGTCGGTTAACAGTGTGGGGTTGCTTTCTGTTGTGCAGCGTAGTGACGCAGTTCTCTACACATGTAGTCCTTTTCATTCTTTTCCATTATAGATTACAAGGTACTGAATATAGTTCACTGTGCTCTACAGTAGGCCCTTGTTTATTTTATACACAGCAGTTAGCACCTGCAGCATTGTAAACCAACTCTACTTTAAAAAGAAAGAGCCTTTGAATGTTGGGAGTTTTGCTGACATGGCCTTGTTCCTACCACAGCGCTTAACCATGAGCACTGCAACTGGCACAGCTACCTGGTTTTACCAGCTCCCCAGTGTGACACCAGGGTTATCCTGGGAAGCCATTTTACCTAATTTCTAATTCATCATTTAATTCAGCATGCTATGGGACTTGAATTCTACTTGAAAAGGCTTTGCTTTTCGTTGCGAATATTACGAAAGATGACGGACAGGCTCTAAGGTCGGTGCTGGCATTCCAGCACACTGTCATCAGCGCCATCATACTGCATTCACAGCAGCACAAGGCCGCGTGCACGGCCCTGACCAAAGGAGCAACAGCTGCTTGTCACAGACCACCTGTGATGAGGCCAAACTGAAATAATGTAAAAGGAAGAAAATAGCTTGTATCTTCAACGTATCTTTCAGAGGAAAGGAAGCGCTTCTATACTGTGGATCAAAAAGAAATCCAAGTGGGCCGAAAAAAGGGCAGGTGAAACAGAAGTCCCCATTTCCTCTCATTTGTCTCTGGACTTCAGAGTGGAGGGAGACGAGGAAGGAATATGGGGAGGATGGCAGCAAAGTAAATGTGGGAGAAGAACTTCGAGAGACACAGAGGTGTCTGGAGAGGTTTACCTGTGTGTGCACACGTGTGAAGTTTAACAAGATGGAGATGTTAAAGCTCTTTGCCTCTAGAAACAGTAATTCAGATAGTGAGCTGCTCGAGCACACGGCTGCATCCTCCTCAGCTCCTGCCCCCTGGGACAGTATGGGGAGGCCCTGTAAGTACCCAGAGCAGCATCTGACACAGTAAGCACCCAAATATTTAAATACATGTGTTTATAAACAAACGTACTGCATTAAAAAAGTTATACCTAAAAATCTGAGCTACTTTATAAACAGATGCCAAACTAAGTATTCTGAGCGATTTTAACACAAAGCTGCTGCATTCACTATAGAAAGGTGTATTTATGAAAGGACTCTACTGAGAACTTACGAGAAGGAAGATACTTTAGACATCATCTAATCTCGAGGTTCCTAAATGTCAGTGCCAGGCAGAGTGACCACAGTAGTTTAAGGACATAGCCCCTCATCCTCTCCAGCAGATCTGGGGTGGTCCCTGAAACTAGGTAACTTCAAAAAGAATTCAGATCATTTTGGTGCGCAGTCAGGCTGAACAAATGCTGACTTAATCTAATGGGAAATTGAGATCCAGAAAGTTTGTGTCCTCCCTAAGATCAACAGGCTTGTTAATGGCAAAACTAGGACTAACATGATGTCCACAGCTCTTTAAAAACAGGCCCACCTGTTCATCTTCCAGGCCACTCCTCTCTATTCTTCTGTTGTAACCTGCCAGTACAATGAATGCACCTCCAGAGACCAAGGGGACAACCAGTGAAAAACATACAAGACAGAGCCAGAGGATCCAGGTTCAAACCCAGTTCATCACCTTCCCAGACAGGCAAGTCATTAAAACTCTATTCCTTAAGGACAGTTGTGAAGATGAAAATGACTGTCAAATAAGACTGTCAAAAATGCTAAAATTCTTAAGAGGAAAAAAAAAGCAATAGAAGTGTATACAAATGCTAAACTTATAAACAGCATAAAAATAATTTGGAAACTGGTCAGTGTAATGTAAAGATGGAAATATAATTTATATCAAAACAAATGCTATTTGTCCTTGAAATCACACCTAGAAACATTTCAACTTTATGAAGTATGACATGGGCTGCTTTTTTCTTACTTATAAAGCTTTTGAGTTTTGTTACATTACACTAACAACGTAACAAGGTATAAAAACATAAGAAAATAAGTTAAATTTGAAAAATTTTAACAGATAATGTGGCTGATTAATGGTGTCATAGACGTGTAACATGCCAAATGCTAAACTTCAGTTGAGAAAAGTTGCCGCATTTTAGAAGACATGAAACTTTAAAAGCAGAAGAGATGCTCATTTTAAGTTTCTTTCCCCCACAGCTCTCTCTCCGCCTTCTCTCTTTGCAATTAGCAATTCACTAACGAGTCATCTCTCAAAGCATTTTCCACAGCCAAGTAAGTTTTAAAATGCTGTGTCCGCTCCTGTAAATCTGTCCCTTAGTTTCCCAGTGCAAATTGGCAAAATAAGGTGCCGAGAAGCCCTGGGATAACCTTTCTCTAACATTTGACTACAGATCCCTTTGTTTACTGAATGGTTTTTAATGTCCCTCAGGGTCATTCCCCCTGCCCCCATGCACAGTAAGCTCCAGATTCTTGCAGATTCATGAACCTGCAAAATTTTCTCTAAATTTTGGGGGTTAACAGGGTTGAACATTTTTTTATCCCCTTGAAAATCAACTAGCTTTATGAAAGGAACAAAAAAAGACTAAACAGGTTTTTCTTAAAAGGGTGGAGCCTTTCTGTAAACTTCAAACTCCTCTATAAACAGAGTGGTTATGTTTACAGTGATCCCTAGCAGGTTGCCTAGAGAAAGAATATAAATGATCACTAATGAAAAAAAGTAGCCTTTTTCAAGGAAAATAGTTCCAAGCTTTCTTCGTATGTAAGGAGGAAGTACCTCCTGGAATTCTTTGAACCTGCCCCAGTGCAGCATTTTCTCTCTTCATCCTCCACCAAGGAGCCCCCAGATCCAGCTGTTCCCACAGGCCACGACGCGGTCCGGGATTTACAGGCAGCCACCACTCCTCGGACCCACTGGCTAAATAACTCCTAGCCTCCTTAACACACCACCACTCTTGTACTGAGTCAGTACATCTTAAAAGTTATCCACTAAACAGCTGCTAAATCAATATTTTATCCTCTTAATTATATTTTATGTTGAATTCACTAGGCACCAAATAATTATTTTTACTCCTGGCTGACTCAGAACTATGCAAATATATTCATAAAAAATGAATGAGCAGTAAGACCCAGTGGTGCCCCAGAGCTTGGTTCTCTGGAAAGAGCCTAGGAAGAGGGAGCTATTAGGTGTCTTTATAGGCACTGCAGAGGCTGAGAAAAAAGTAAGGCACATTTTTCAACCTAGAGGCTACGCTGCACACACAACAGCGGGAGGAGAGAAGGGGTAGTTATTTCGTCACCTGCCCTGGGGTAGAGTTGTTCAGAGACACTTAAATGACTTCTCAACGAACTGGAATTTGCAACGTGGAGCACGTCCCTGGCAGACCCAACCTCACTCACACCCAGAGCTTTACAATGTCTGACACCGAAACACCACTTTCCCCAAAGCCCAATTCAGGCTGCAGAAGTAAGTGACTCAGCCTCTGCCTGGACCACTTTCCCGCATCCTGTGGGCGCCGCACAAAACGCAAGCCCCTCCTGTCACCTCTCCTTGGCCATTAACCCACTCCCGCACTTTCCCATCCTCCCTTTGATAACCTCTCCCTAGTGCACCTGTTTGTCTGGCACCACTGGGCAGAGCAGATCTTCCGCCTGCTTGTCTGAACCAGATTCCCGTTTCTCCTCCACAAGCCTCCTGCGTGAAGGCTCTTGTTTTCTTACCTCCCGCCTTCAGGAAAACCTCTTCTTTCATGCTGTGTCACCCAGGGACACCGCAGTCGCCTGCGAAGCTGACCGCCCGGTTCAAGGAGGATGCTGGAGCCAGGCTCACGGCCGCCTTCCCCTGCACTCCTCAGTGCCCTCAAGTTTCTCGACTAATTCCTCTCCAGTGACCTCTGCCTTCACCCTACTTTCTGAACGTGTTGACAGTAGCTCCTTTAGAGATTTAACATAACGATGGCCCACTCCCTGGCCACCAGCTCTTGGCCCTCGAGCTCCGTCACCCCTTTATGACTCTCCTTCCCTTCTTGGTGTTACTATCTTCCGCATCTTCTTTTCACCCGGCCTTTCATCTGAGGCTGCCACCCTGCACGCTTCATGGGGTGACGAGCCCACAAACCCTCATCACGTGTCCCTCCCCACAACCTTGTCTTTCAGCTCTACCTGCACAATCTCTGTTCCCATGAAAGCAATTTTATCCACAAAAACTCATTTTCAAAAGATCAAGAAGGAACCATCTGAATATTTTAAAAAAAGGCGCTTTAAATAGTTTCCAGTTCTACGAAAGCTACCAGCATTCTGAAATACCGTCATTGTTAGAGGCTTGTTAAGGAAAAGATCAGGATGCTTTGTGATTTACATATTCATTATTTACATGAAAATAATGACGTCCCCCCTAAAATCTGGAATAAGACAAGGCACTATAAACCTTCTAGAAGAAAACACAGGCAGAACGTTATCCGACATAAATCTCAGCAATGTTCTCCTAGGACAGTCTACCCAGGCAACAGAAATAAGAGAAAAAAATAAACAAATGGGACCTAATTAAACTTAGAAGCTTTTGCACAGCAGAGGAAACCACAAGCAAAACAAGATGACAACCTATGGAATGGGAGGAAATATTTGCAAGGGATGCAACTGACAAAGGCATAATTTCCAGAATATATAAACAGCTCACACAACTTGAGAAGAAAATAACCCAATCCAAAAATGGGCAGAAAACCTAAACAAGCAATTCTCCAATGAAGACATACAAATGGCCAATAGACACGTGAAACAACGCTCAGTATTGCTAATTATCAGAGAAATGCAAAGCAGAACTACCATGAGGTGTCACCTCACACCAGTCAGAATGGCCATCATTCAATGCTGGAGAGGCTGTGCAGAAAAGGGAGCCCCCCTGCACTGCTGGTGGGAATGCAGTCTGGTGCAGGCGTTATGGAAGACCGTAGTGCGATTCCTTAAAAGACTGAAAAATAGACTTAACCATATGTTCCAGCACTCCCACTCCTGGGCATATATCGAGAGGGAACCTTAATTCAAAAAGACACCTGCACCCCAGTGTTCATAGCAGCACTACTTACAGTAGCCAAGACATAGAAACTACCTAAATGTCCATCGACAGGAGGCTGGATAAAGAAGTTGTGGTACATTTATACAGTGGGGGTATGACTTAGCCATTAAAAATAATGCCATTTGCAGCCACATGGATGAACCTGGAGAATGTCATTTGAAGTGCAGTAAGCCAGAAAGAAAAATACCATATGATATCACTTATATGAAGGATCTTTAAAAGAACAAATGAACTTATTTACAAAATAGACTCAGACATAGGAAACAACCTCATGGTTACCAAAGGGGAAGGGGGGGTTAGGAAGGGATATATTGGAAGCTCGAGATTTGCAGATACTAATATATAAACAAGTTTATACTGTATAGCACAGGGGACTATATTCAATATCTTGTACTGTCCACCAGAAGTTGACACATTATAAATTGACTGTACCTCAATAAAACTCTATTTTTAAAAAATGAGTTCCATTGCTCCTATCACAAATTACTGGGAATTACTGTGTATAAAAAGTTGTAATACTCTAGAAAACAGACACAAGCTGAAATAACATCCTGGACAGTAGCATCTTTCAGGCTGTAGGTTATTGAGTGGCTTCAAGAAAATTATTGAATTATTTGAGAAACATTTTAATTCCTCCAAGTGGACACAGTGCTCATGCTACTTAAAAATGGCGTGGGTGGCCTGGGCTAACAGCCCCTGTCATTAGTCATGTACCTCCCCGAGAACATGCTACACTTACCACAGTAAGAATGACTGCTCGTCAAGAAGAGGAAATCTGGGGAGGGTTAAAAACACAATGGCTTCCTTAAAAGGGCCTAAGTAACACGTGACTGTCGAATTGGTATCTAAAATAAACCCTGCCCTGGATAAACATGTCAGTCAGCTCACTCAGGAGGCTCAGTTGTCCAAGAAAGGAGACTTACTTGTAAGTTGTAGTCTTGCAGAATTTTAACCAAGGAGTCTCTCAAATTGGGAATCTCCATTCCTTCCTTAATGCGGTGAATCAGGAGAATGGGGTCAACATGCGTGCCAATGTTGTTGAGCAAGCCAGTGATAAACGCTGCAAGACAGCACGTAGAACAGCACATAAGCAGTGCAGGTGATGCAACCTCCGGCCAAAAGTAACTCAAGGGAAAAGGTTACTTCCTTTAAGGAAGTGTTAAAACCATCTGAATGTCTGAATCCTCCCAAGAAGAAATCTTCCCTTACTTTCCTCAACAGAGAAGCTAAAGAAGAAACAGTCGGAAAACAAACGATTGTTTCAGAATCCAGTCTGATGTCAAAGGTGCAACCACTATTTACTGAGCACTGACCAGCTCAGCTGTCACATACTTTTCTCCAGTATTCTGCAAGGTAGGAGTGCTCCTTGTTCCCATTTTACAGGAAAGGAAAGTGGGGGTGGTTAAGCAACTCATCCAGGGTCACAGTGTGTTTCATTATCCCCACTTTGTCTCCTTTTAGAGCCTTAAATGACAACTGTCCTGCTGACCCAGATCTTTAAAGATACACACGCGTGTATGTAAGTACCTTAATCTGAAATTGACTTGAATAACATTATCCTCTTGCATCTCTTACTAAAAATGAAACCAGTCATACCAGCAGTTTCTAGAACTTGAAAACCCTGGCAGACATAAGCCTTCCCAAAAAGGGAAGGGAAAGGTCTGCAACCATGACGGCTGGTTGCTGCGTCATTCCTACATCAATCTTCAGGAAGGACGTGCGCTACTCTTAGGTGACTGCTTTTCCTTCCAAAATGGGAGCCCCAGGGCAGATGGCCAAGCAGAGGCAGCAAATGCACAGTCCTGGTGCTGCACTGACAGAACGGGGCAGGAAAGGCACTGAACATGATGGGAGCAAACCTCCAAACATGGCCAATGGCCAGTGTCCAGTGCCGGGCAAGGGGTCTGTACGGAGGCCTGGTGAGAGCTACACTGTATACACTTTGAAAATAACTGTCCCCTGCGTACAAACAAACCAAAATGAGCACTAAGCCAGTTCACGCTGATTCCGTTTGGGTGCAGTAGGTAAAAAATACACTCCTCAGAGCACAGGTAATAGGATCACGCCAATCACGTGCTCTCTGTCACCTCTGGGTAAGGTGACGTGCTGAGGGGCCGGCCTCCCAGCACAGGAGGAGGACCGGACATCGCTGCTGTGCACCTGGCCTACTTTCATTATAGATACTTCACCGTATTTTTAACCCGATGCATTTGAGAGAATTCTTACTCTAGACACAACCGGCTAAATTGAGAGACAAAGGGTTACGCTCGCAGATGGCTTTCCTGCTTACGTGGTTTGTCGATGGAATATAAAATCAGGTCTTCCCAGAGCTCCCCGTCGTCCTGCTCCTTGGCAAATTCAATGGCTTTGTCAACGTCGTGCAGTTCCTCCATGATCATCTTCAGGGCACTTCGGCTATTCCCCATGCGGCCTAGCAGAGTGTGAAAAACCCTGTATTTAGAAAACTTAAATAAAACACTTTAAGAGAAATAACATCTCTCTTCATTTGTTCACACAGCCGGACAGCTATGACAAAAGCGTATTTCCTTATATGACGTCCGTGTCTTGGTAAAATAAGTATCTGCTACTTACCGGGTGTTTACTTGGTGCCCAGTACTCACGTTAAGTGATGACTAAATGATGTAATTCATGTGAACGCTTAACACTCCTAGGAGGTATGTTATGTTCTACTAATGTTTCTGTTTTATAAAAGAGGACATAGAAATGCTGGTAATTTGCCAAGATCATACAGCTTACTAAGTGGGCAGATATGGAATCTGAATCCAGGTCTATCAGAGTCTACCTTCCTTCTGATGATAATTAAAAAAAAAAAAAGAATAAACTTCCCAACTCGTCTATAATTTCTTTTGATTATGTTGTAAGGTGTGACTGTTAGTGTTGTTTATTACAAAATACTAGTATGTTACCTCAACAGCATTTATTGAATAATGCTTCCTTCTCTACTGAGCTGTGAAGTCTCCTCTTCCATATATTGAATTCTTATACAAAAGAGGCTGTCACCTCTGTGTTACTTTGGTCCACAGCCTGCGTCCAGTCTTAGACAATTTACATCACGTTGCCACCCCATTTCTTAGTCTCTGGGGAACCAAAATGAATAAAAGCTACTTACTCAGAAGATAAACTGTCTCTTCCACAAAGTTTCTCTGTTGACAGATCTCAAGAGCCTTCAAGTAACACAGGGCAAACATGTTACTAAGGGTTACCAGACAAGAACAAATTATTAATAGAGTCACTTTTAAAGATACATGCTTGAAAGAATTTTTCCGTTGCCTCCTTTTAAAAACAAAACAAAGCAAACCTCGTGTTGTGCCAGTATTTGTCCTCATCCACCTCTCAGAGAGGTGAGGTGCTGGACCCTACACAGCTGAACTGGTAACTCAGAACATTCCACGAGCAAAGGCAGAAAAGCAAGATGCTGAGAGGCCTTCTCTCTTTATTCTATGTGACATTTCTTCATGTCACTGCCCCAGCCTAATTCACAGCCACTGGTTTAAGCCCCTTTTCCCTCCACTGGATTGTAAGCTCCAGGAAAAGACTGCTGTTCACTGCTGCACGGTCCCAGTATGGGGTGTCCCATAGCTCAGTGGACCTCTGTTACATAAACACACATACACTGGGAATATTTCTATTGCTGGCTCACAGGGTGTAAGAGAGAACTCTGCTCAAGGATCTGTCAAAAGAGGAAAATCAAAAAGCTGTGTGTACCCCAGTGTTCACTGCAGCACCATTTACAACAGCCAAGACATGGAAGCAACATAAGTGTCCATCAACACATGACTGGATAAAAAACATGGGGTACACACAGGAATACCACTCAACCATAAAATAGATTTTTGTCATTTGCAGCAACATGGATGGACTTGGAGGGCATTATGCTAAGTGAAGTAAGTATGTACAGAGAAAGACAGATACTGTATGACATCACTTACATGTGGAATCTAAAAAATAGTATAAGTGAACTTATTTACAAAACAGACTCACAGACATAGAAAACCAACTTACGGCTACCGAAGGGGAGGGGGAGGGATAAATTAGGAATTTCAGATTAACAGATACAAACTACTATGTATAAAATAGATAAACAACAAGGACTTACTCCATAGCACAGGGAGCTACATAAAAAAAAGTAAAAGGGAAAAAAATCTGACAATCAAGAAGAAACAAAAAGGGGGAGATCAAGACATGAGGGACCACACAGATGACAGCATCTCCTTGAGTGTAAGAGAAAAGACACTCTGTGTATACAGAATTGAGTAACCCTGGATGGAATGGCGCACCCTGACTGCACCCAGAGGGCCAGGTTGGATGGAGATGCAAAGAGAGCAACAAAAATGCTGCTGCCGCCCCGTGTAAGAGGAGGACCACGGGGAGGAGGGGGAGGAGGAGGCTCAGTAGGAGCAGAAGCATGCACTCCCCCTAAGGGCGCACACGTCCAGGGAGGGTCACCGTGATGCGACAGCAGAGAATCCCATGGCCAGAGGAGCGTAAATGGAGGGTCATGTGCACGGATGGGGATGTGGGCTCTGGTGTGGCCTCTTGTAAAAAGCTTCACAGAAGGGGTGACACCCAAACTGGGTGTGGTATGGTGAGTAAGGGTTCACCAGGAAACCTCATCTCACACCCTGCCACGTGACCTTCCTGTACTATGTTCCTCTGACCTGAAGCCCAGAATCTTACCTGTGGCTTCTGCCATCTGGCCCCACGTTTCGGTGCAGCTCGATCCATGCCCCGCCCATCCCTCTGCTGTGGTCCCTCGGCCTGGAATGCTGCCCCTGCTCCCCACTCCCCAACCCGGCAGGTCCTTCAGCAAGCACTCACTGGACCCCACTCGGGGTCAGATCCCAGGTTCTTAGTCTTGTTGCACCTGGCACCCTTCACAGGTGCGACGAACTGCCCCCCTAACTGTCGTGGTTTCTGTCGGCTGGAGCCACGTGTGCTCTCAGCCCCGGGCTTCTGCCTGGCACAGTAAGTGTGCAATCAATATTTTTTAAATAGATGAGCAGCCAGAAAAGGTTTCGGAGGAAGATCCTGAGTCACATAGTTAGCAGAGTCATTTAAAAACAACCAATCAAAAATATTTTAAAAACTAGAACCAAGGAGATGAAAAGAACAGTCCAAGTTCACTGGCTCTCTCAGCACCATGATCTGTCTTGGGAAATAACAGTTGGAACTACTTTTGACATTTCTGACTTTGATTTAAAGTATTTGTGCAGAATATAACTTTAAATCTGGGTCTGGTTGGAAATTAACAGCTAAAAAGGAAGAAGAAAAAAACCCAAAGGTTACAGAGATCAAGGGAAAGGGGAAAAACCCAAGATAAACATAAACGGCAAAAATTACAATGCACCTTACTTTAGAATTGCAGTGAAACTAAGATAATATTTCAAAGTGCACAGTCATTTCAATGAGATGACCTGGCTGCAATGAGGAAGAAACTGCTAATTTGATTATTCACATGATTCCTTTAAAAATCACATGGCAGAGACAGCTGGTTGTCTCCCAACATCCTTTCCCCATTTCTTCTATAATAATAAGATTTTAGGTGGGGGTGTGACTGCCCAGAATTAAAACCTCCAAGCCACCCCCGTGGTATGAGAACTGTGTGAGTACAGTCCACCAGGGAGAAGACACAGAAAGGTGGGGTGGAAGCTTCTGGGAATGTCCTTGAAGAAGCAGTGCACATGAACCCCTTGTTTTCTTACTTTTAATTCTTTCATCCAGACCGCTCCTGGAAGCACACGATACTCCTACATCATGAGATCGAGGTCATATGAGGTGGGGGAACAAGAGAACAGAGCCCAGGTCCCTGATCCCATGGCCTGCCACCACTAGCGGGGCCCGCCAGTGTGACTTCAGTGTGACAGAACTAAACTGCTCCTCTGTTTAAGCCACTACTAGTCGGGGATTTCTTTTTTTAAAATCACTCATACCAAACCTGATTCTAACTAATACTTGGAAAATTCTCACTCATTCTGATCTAAAACATGGCTTCCCAATCTCAATATGGTCACACCTGTAAACCACCATCATTAAGAATGGAACTTCCTTACCAACTCTGAACCCTCCCAGAATGACACGAGAGCAGAGACAGGTTGTACATGTGAGAAGTTTAGTAGTTACAGGAAAAGCAAAGTATCTGAAGTCAGAGGACCTGGGACTATTCCAAGAGGAAAATGAGAAACCAGCTGAGGGCTTAGATGTGTGCTCACTGCTGGAGACACAGGTGGACGAAACAGTTTACGGTCTGGGAAGACCGCATCATTCAGAACAAACAGCAAACGGTAACACAAGTGGACAGGTAGAACGTTTAGAGAAAGATAATGTGCACAGAGATGAGTGTAATGCTTACAGTGGTTTACTATTTAAAGGTATCCATAAATCAGTTTTGTGCCTGGAAATTTACTGACACTTTAAAGTCCCACTTAGAAGTTTCAAACAGAGCCATCTTCCTTTTCCTGAGCACACGAGGATGCTTGAAAACATGCGTGTCCCAAACCACAAAGAGGGTTTGTAGTCTGAAGGCTCACCTGAGCTGTGCAAGACTGTAGCCACTTGCTGTATGTGGCTATCTGCATTTAAATTAAATGGAAACTTCAGTTCCTCACTATCCATATGTCAAAGGCTCAGTTGCCACGCGTGGTTAGTGGCTACTTCGTTAGAGAAGCTGGTAGCCCATTTCCACCTCTGCACAACATTCTACGGTATAACGTTGCTGGGAGCTGTTTAGGATGCTATCAAAAATGACGATTCATGTGGGAAGAAATGTCTGAGGGCAAGTCTGCAGTCAAGAGTGGTCTGAAAGGCGAGCAGGTGTGGAACACCAAGCTCAAAGAGCATCTGGGTCTTTAAATTTCACAGATTTTTAAATATTTTATGACTTGTTTCTAACAGTATCTTAAATTATCCTTTGTTCATATAAGAGAAAGTCGAGAAAGACCCTAGACTCCAGAAGTCTCTGGAAATTTTGAGTAAAATGTAAGAAGAAAGTATTTCTGGTACATAGAATTTTTCTATGATTGTCAAAAAGCACAAAGGCCTTTTTTCTTATTTTAGATTCTTGACTGTTCCCGGGCCACACTGCTCCCTCTAGTGGAAAGAGTAGGGAAATTAAGAGTTTTAAAGGCAAACAGAGACACATGCGTGCACAAGCAGAAAATTATAGTAGAAAACATTAAAGTGACAAGACAGAATAATAACAGGAGTTGAGTGGGAAACGATGCAGAAATAATATTTTAAGTTTCCTTTCCCTGATTTAATATAAAGGTAAGGAATAGAGTTAGAAATTTGGAGGGAAGTAACAGAAACCTGACCAACTACAAATTATGTAATGATTTCCACCTAGCCTCGACCCTGTAAATCCTTGATCCAGTCTTCTTGTTAAATTTCTTTAATGAAAAAAAATCTATAAACTTTGCATCTCCTGGTTTTATTCCTCCAAATTCATAAACACTGCCACCTTGTGAATGCCATTTGGTACGAGACAGGTCATAAATTCAGGTCTTCACTTGCTGGAGCTATAAAGCTGCTATTCTTAACTATTCTAGGCATAAGAAAATCGGATCTGCGAATGAAAACTAGTGCCCGATGACCACAGCTGGGAATTACGGAAGGACGGACAGTTTAAAGACTGATGCACAGTTCTTGCAGTACTGAGGAGTATCTGTTATTATTATCAGTATTATTATTTTAATTAACTTTGTAAACCTGAAAAATGATTCCTCACCATCGTGGAAAGAATATGAGACTGGAAATTAAGAGACCCGGGGTCCCGAGTCTTGGCCCTTTGACTTATTTATTAGCTCTATACTTTGGGTTGTTTCTTTCCACTCCTACAGACTCAGCTTGTCACGTATAAAATGACTTTATCCATCTCCCTGCACGTTTGTAGAGATTAAATAAAAATAAGGAACTTTCATGAAAGCACAGCACATCTGATAAAGCACAAGAAACACTTCCGGGATACTGCTGTCTTTTTTAAAGACTATTCTCTTTTCAAATTGTGGTAGGTGTTATAAATTCTTACCAACCCTGTCTCTCTTTTAGAATGAACAACTTCATAAAAACTTACGTTTAATTTTGGAATTTAAGAGTTGTGATTTTAAAGCCTGAACTCTGGTCTTTGAGAACTAAGTTCCTACAAGGCTTCTAATGCACGGCAGGGTTTATACAAACTTTCTGGCCAAATGCTCCTGACCGAGGGGTATCAATGAATTCAGCATAAGTCTGACCTGCATTCTTGAAGACTTCCAGCACCTGCCATTTGAGATGACCCCTTCACTCAATGATTACCCAGTCTAGCAAAGGCAGACGACCAGAAATGAGGACGACAGAGCTGTATTCTGGCAGAAGTGAAACTATCAACAATAGTGAGTCGACATGCTCTGAATGCCTTGAAACTTTAAACACTTTCCATTTAACATGAAAACAAACACCAAAATATCTCCTAAGCATCTATCAGCCTAAACAATCCATAAACTCTTCTGAAGTAGAGACTTCTTGGGTGTGGATTAAGAAGCTGACTGGTTACACGATGGATGAGCAGAGACAGGAAGAGGGAAACCAAGAGCTCACCAGCAAGGACAGCTCGGTCACCTGCAGTGTGTGGCCGGGGCGTCTGTGACTTACCTTCTCAAGGGGGCAATGGATGCTGTCTCGGAGAAATGGAAGCAGGTTTGGTCGATCGTATTCCGCGTAGAGGCTGATCTGCTTTTCATGGTAGGCCTGCCCCTTATGATGGTCTCTTTTGAACAGCTTATGCAGGTACTGAAAAGAACACAGGAATAAACCATGAATACTGAAGTAAGAAAAGCAGTGCCTGTTCAACATTGCTATTTTCAGTTCGAAACAGCTTCCACGAAGAGGTTGAGGGGGAAAGTCTCTAGGCGAGTAGAAAGGAGAATGTTCTCTCTAGAACGGCCTGAGTGACCTGGCTCCGTCCCTTGCCGACCACGTGACCTGGGGCAGATCACTAACCTCTCTGTGACTGAGTTTCTTTATCTGCAGAAATCTCATGGGGTCGTTGTGAGGAATGAGTGAGTCAGCACCTGTAGACCCCTCAGAACCACACCTGGCACACACTAAGAACCGCAGAAATGTTACCGATGGGAGTTGTTAATATCACCATCATCTGCTTCGCCTCAGAGAATGAAATGCTTGATGAATCGTGTTTCTAGATGAGAAAATTCTCATCCTTCAAATTTATATAAAGGAGGCAGAATCATGGGGCAAGAATATGTTCTTAAAAACTCAAGCAGCAAGGGCTAAATTAATTCTCATACATTCTGCGTCTCTTCTCTGTTAAGTCTTACTGAGATCTGTGTTTGCAATGAAATGCTGCCTATAGTGGCAACAATGAAAACAAAAACAAAAAGTAAAAATCAAGAAGAGTACAGGTGTTCAGAACCCATTTTCAAAATCAATTCCTTTTTCTAACCTTCTGAAAAAGTTACTGGACCTCAAAGGAAGCCAGTGATTCCCTTTCTACTCAGGGGCAAGGTGAAGTCTGCAGGTGACGCAGAAGTCACAAGTCGATGTTGGATGCTTCGTTGCTGTTAGATGGAAACAAACACCCGGTAACCCACCTGAGGCAGAAAGACTCACACATGGTGCCTTCGCACCTTGAGTGGCCTGGGTCTTCAGGAGCACAGAGCATCGGCCGGCCCCCGAAGCTGGACTGGGAATGAGTTCGCTGAAGACGGACATGGGGGACTGTATGTGGTCGCTAAATAAGCCTAACCGGGACACCAGCACATTGGGAAACCACTCCTCGGGTTGGCTGTTCCCCTCTCCCTCAGGCAAGAAGCGGGGAGAGCAGACAGACAGACAGAAGTCCACACCAGGCTGACGAGGGCCCCGGCCAGTCCACTGGCGCGGGGCTCAGCGTGTGAGCTGGACACACCACGCTTTCCCAGAGGCGGAGGCCCTGTCACTTCTGCGGGGGCAGATTTATGGAGACATTACCTTGCCTGACAGGGGAGATGAGCCGCTTTAGTGTGAGTCCCGCCACCACTGCCCCAATTACAGGATCACTGGATGCCTCCCGCCTGTAATCCTGTCTCGTGGCTCAAGGAGGCCAGAAATCACTGCTTTATTAACAAATCCCAAGGCGGCCAGAGCAGAGGTACCCTGCTTGGATAAGCAGGTGATCTAGAGACTTCCAATCATCAACAATATAGCAAAAGCATCTGTACAACCTCTGAGCCAAAAAAAAATCCCCCAAAAATAACCAAAAAAAAAAAAAAAAAAAAAAAAAGAAAAAAGAAAAACAAAAACCAAAAACTAAACCTAACTAACTACTACTACTACT